ACCTCGTCGAGCCGCCCTAGCGGCCCCTACGCCCTAGTGGCCCTATCGCCCTAGCGGCCCCTTCCCCTAGCGGCCCCGCCGCCCGTCGCTTCGGCCCCGCCGCCCTTTCGTGCGGTCCCGCCGCCCGTCTCAGCGGCCCCGCCGCCCTTCTCAGCGGCCCCGTCGCCCCGCATTGCGGCCCCTCCGCCCGTCTTCGCGGCCCCGCCGCCCGTTGCTGCGGCCCCGCCCTTCTCGGCGGCCCCGTCGCCCCACACTTTGGCCCCGCCGCTCTACTCAGCGGCCCCGCCACTCTACTCAGCGGCCCCGCCGCCCTACTCAGCGGCCCCGCCGCCCTTCTACTCAGTGGCCCCGCCGCCCTACTCCGCGGCCCCGCCGCCCTTCTGCAGCGGCCCCGCCGCCCTAATCAGCGGCCCCGCGGCTCTTCTCCTGCGGCCCCGCCGCCCTACTCCTGCGGCCCCGCCGCCCTACTCAGCAGCCCCGCCGCCCTAATCAGCGGCCCCGCCACCCTCCTCCTGTGGCCCCGCCGCCCTACTCAGCGGCCCCGCCGCCCTTGTACTGCGGCCCCGCCGCCCTTCTCAGCGGCCCCGCCGCCCTACTCAGCGGCCCCGCCGCCCTTCTACTGCGGCCCCGCCGCCCTTCACCAGCGGCCCTGCCGCCCTACACCGCCCGCGCCACCCGAGCCGCCCGAGCCGCCTGACGTGCCCAAGCTGCCCGAGCCGCCCGAGCCGCCCGACTCTCCTGAGCCGCCCGAGCCGCCCGACCAGCCCGAGCCGCCCGAGCAGCCTGATCAGCCGAGCCGCTGGTGCCGCGGAGCCGCAGTCGCTGCTGTGCCGTCCGAGCAGCCGTGTTGCCGTGTTACTGCAGTGCTGAGCTGCTCGACCCACCCTATCCGGTGAGAGCAGCGCTTCTGTCACTACACTGCCCCTGTCCTACAGTTGGTCCAGCTAGTCTACTTCTGTCATGGCTACCCCTAGTGTTCTCGCTTTTGACGCTGAGGGTCGAGCCATTGACTTTGAGGTTTGGGTAGATGACCTGCAGCTCTTCCTACAGTGCTATAGGGCAGACGGTCTCTCCCTCTTTGACCTCACCTCTGGCGCCTCTCCTGCCCCTGCTGCTGATGCTGACCCTACGGTTCGCTCCCATTGGGCCACACGCGATGCTGCTGCACGCCTTGCTGTGCGTCGCCACCTGCCTACCACTGAGCGCGCGCACTTTAGTCAGTACAAAAGTGCTCAGACCTTGTACGATGCTGTAGTTGCGCGCTACTCTTCCCCTTCCACTGCTGCACTGAGCCGCCTCATGCTACCGTACCTCTTCCCTGACCTTGCTGCCTTTCCCACAGTCGCTGACCTCATTACGCACCTCCGCACTAGTGACACTCGCTACCGCGCCGCGCTTCCTGCTGAGTTCTGCGCCAAGAACCCCCCCCCCATGTACATCACTCTCTATTATATAGTCACCCGCCTCCTTGACTCCCTTCGCGCAGTCAGGGACCACTTCCTCTCAGTCTGTCCCACCACTCTCACTGTTGACCTCCTCGAGAAGGCCCTCCTAGCGGCGGAGAAGAGCATAGTCGCTGTAGGAGCCTCTCGTGGTGACCCTCGCACCCCCATCTTTGAGGGGTGTTCCCCTTCCCTCCTGTTGCCCTCTGTCGCCTCTGCTGCTGCGGCCGACCTCGTTGGTCTTGAGTCGGTCGGTGCGGCGTCTGCCCCTAGCGGGAGACGTCGCTCTGGCAAGGGCAAGGGGGGCAAGGGCGCGGGTGGAGCTAGCGGGGGTGGTGGAGGTGGCGGTGGAGGCGGCGGAGGGAGTGGGGGTGGCGGTGGGAGTGGCGGCGGGGTTGGAGGTGGCGGTGGCAGCAGCGGAGGCGGAGGCGGCGGAGGCGGTAGCGGTGGGAGCGGAGGCAGCGGTGGTGGCGGAGGTGGAGGCGGCGGTGGTGGAGGAGGTGGAGCTGGTCGGGGTGGTGCTTCGCAGCGGAGCGGCTCCGGTGGTGGTCAGCGCCAGCAGCAGCAGCAGCAGCAACAGCAGCGTTCTCGGGACATCCCCCTCCTCAGCAGCTCCGTGAGTGGTACACGCAGCGTCAGCGTGGTGGGGGTTTCGGTCCGTGCACCTACGTCCTTCGCTCCGGCGACCGCGCTGGTGAGCTGTGTGGGGGTGCCCACCCCACCCAGCGCTGCTTTGGCCGCCTGACGGACGCTTGGCGTCAGCAGTTCCCGGAGGCTAGTGAGATCCCCCGCTGGGGAGAGCTGTCTAGGGCAGGTGTTGCTATCTATGATCTTGACTTTGATGCTATCCTTGTTGCCATGTATGCTGTGACTATTAGTGATGAGGGTGACTGTTACCGGTGTTTCCCGCCCGACCCGGGCATTGGTACTGCTGCGCTAGGTGCTAGTGAGGCTGCTGCTCTAGGTGCCAGCGCGTCTGCGTCCTCAGGTACTGGTGAGGCTGCGCTCTCAGGTACCGCGTCGGCTTCGGCCTCCCTCACCTTCACACTTGACTCTGGGGCTTCGCTCTCCTTCTTTCGAGACCGCACCACACTCACGCCGCTTGGTCGGCCGGTTGCAGTCTCCCTGGCAGACCCCTCTGGGGGTCCTGTCCTCTCTCACTCTCCACTGTCCTCCCATGTCCGGGTGCCCCCTCTGGCACCTTGTCTGGTCTTTACCTCCCCTCGTTCTCGACGAACTTGGTGAGTGGTGCTGACCTGCAGGATGCGGGGGTTCACCAGTTTACTCCTGCGAGTCAGCGGGTGACCCACTGCTCGGACTCACGCACGGGCCGGCACCTGGCCACGTTTTCGCGTCGGCCGGGGTCGAGCCTCTACACCCTGACCACTGGGTCCCCTCCTGTCCCTGCGTCTGGCCAGGTAGCTGCGTCGGGTCAGGTGTTTGCTGCAGCGTCCAGGTCTGGTCCTGAGTCTGCCCCCTGCTCGTGTCGCCTCCAGTCTCACAAGACTCTCCTCTGGCACCACCGTCTTGGTCACCCCTCCCTGCCTCGTCTCCGAGGCATGGCTTCCCGGGTCCTTGTCTCTGGTCTCTCCCGGTCCCTCCCTCCCCTTCCTTCCCTCCCGCAACTGGAGCAACTAGCACACGGGCAACTGGAGCAACTAGCACACTGGCAACTGGAGCAACTTGCACACGGGCAACTGGAGTAACTGACTCCGCGGCTAGACAAGCGGCAGGAGTAACTGACTCACGGGCGACTGGAGCAACGGGCACACGGGCGACTGGAGCGACGGGTTCACGGGCGACTGGCGCAACGGTCTCACAGGCGACTGGAGTTGCTGACTTCACGGCGGCCACCCCCCTTCAACCTCCCCCATTGTCCCAAAACTCCCGTTCACACCCCTCGACATCCCTAGCGCCACGACCTCGTCTCCCCCACACCCTCCCCCCCCTTCAGCGGTAGCTGCAGCAGTGGGAGAGAGAGGAGGAGGGGCGGCAGCAGATCACTCATACCCGCCACCCCCTTACCCTCCCCCCCACTGCTGCACAGCAGCAGGGGGATGGAGGAGAAGGGGGGGCGGGCGGGGGGGGCAGGGTAGGAGCTGCGCGGGCTACAGCAGGGGCAGTGCAAGCGCGCGCATTGTCCTGCGCGTGACAGGGCCATAAAGAGCCATGTCTTGTTGCGATCGTGCAACTGTGCACGGTCGCAACAGTTGCGACACATGCGCGGGCCCTGAGGGGCCACACGCGCATGTCAGGACCCCACGCGCATGTCAGGACCCCACGCGCGGGTCCTGACTTTCGCGCACTTTTTGACTAGCGCGAAATCGGTCAAAGGGCCAAGTTAAGAAAAGACTCGAGGCACACTCTCCCGACACACTCAACTCTCGCCATGAGCGCACATGAAAATTCGTGAACTTTCATGATGCTCGGAACTTTCATGAACGCTCCCGGTTGTTCATGAAAATTAACGAACGAACATGAGTCGTCATGAGAATTCATGACTCGTCATGATCCATCATGACTTTGTCAAACTTATAGTCTGTGTAGGCTGTAGTGGGGTAGACAATATGGGGTACAACATTTCAAGGTTTTCCTACTTGTACCCACCTCTTTCCTAGTTCATTCATTCCTCATTTCTTCACATGGTATAGAGCGGGTTCCCTAGTGGGAACGCTTTCTAGGGCCCACCAGTGAAATCGATTTTTTTTTTCTGACCGGAGCGCGAGTCGCCCCTGCCCGTGGCGCGCCCCGTGGGCCGCTCTCTTGTCGAGCCCTCCTAGAGGCCCCTCTCACGGCCCCTCGCGCCACCCTTAGCGGCCCTATCGCCACCCCTAGTGGCCCCGTCGCCGCCCTTCTAGGCCCCTCGCAGCCCCTTTGCAGCCCCGTTGCCGCCCCTAGCGGCCCCGTCGCCGCCCTTCAGGCCCCTCGCGGCCCCTTTGCGGCCCCGTCGCCGCCCCTAGCGGCCCCGTCGCCGCCCTTCCAGGCCCCTCGCGGCCCCCTCGCGGCCCCCTCGTGGCCCCCTCGCGGCCCCTTCGCGGCCCCGTCACCGCCCTTCGAGGCCCCTAGCGGCCCCTACGCGGCCCCGTCGCCGCCCCTAGCGGCCCCGACGCCGCCCCTCGCGGCCCCGTCGCCGCCCTTCGCGGCCCCGTCGCCACCCCTAGCGGCCACGTCGCCGCTCTTCCCGGCCCCGTCGACACCCTATAGCGGCCTCGTCGCCGCCCTTAGCGGCCCCGTTGCCGCCCCTTGCGGCCACGTCGCCGCCCCTTTCGGCCCCTCCCCGGCCCCTTCACCGCCGAGCTGCCGAGCCGCCCAGCAGCCGAACAGCCGAGCAGCCAAGCCGCCGAACCGCCGAGCCGCCGAGCCAACGAGCAGCCGACCCGCCAAACCGCCCAGCCGCCAAGCCGCCCAGCAGCCGAGCCGCCGAGGCCGCCGTCGAGCCGCCACTACCGAGCCACTGCCGAGCCGCTGCCACCGCGGTTGCCGCCCTGTTCCTTCCGACGCACCCCGGCCCTACCCACCCGGACTGGTGAGAGCACTCCCTTATAAACCACTGCTGTGATGGCTACCCCCAGTGTCCTTACCTTTGATGCTGAGGGTCGTGCTGTTGACTTCGAGGTCAGGGTCGATGACCTACAGCTCTTCCTACAGTGCGATAGGGCAGACGGACTCTCCCTGTTCGATCTCACCTCTGGTGCCTCTCCTGCCCCGCCTGCTGATGCTGACAACACTGTCCGCTCACAGTGGGCCACACGTGATGCTGCTGCCCGTCTTGCTGTGCGTCGCCACTTACCGACCACTGAGCGTGCGCACTTTAGTCAGTACAAGAGTGCTAAGACCTTGTACGACGCTGTAGTTGCACGCTACTCTTCCCCTGCCACTGCTGCCCTTAGCCGCCTCATGCTGCCGTACCTGTTCCCTGACCTCGCCGCCTTTCCCACTATCGCTGACCTCATTACGCACCTTTGCACTAGTGACACCCGCTAGCGCGCTGCGCTTCCTGCTGAGTTCTGCGCCAAGAAACCCCCCCCCATGTACATCACCCTCTACTACATAGTCACCTGGCTCCCTGACTCCCTTCGCTTGGTCAGGGACCACTTCCTCTCTGTTTGCCCCACCACACTCTCCGTTGAACTCCTCCAGGAGCGCCTCCTAGCAGCTGAGAAGAGTATAGTAGCTGTAGGAGCCTCTCATGCTGAACCTCGTGCCCCCTTCTTTGAGGGGTGCTCCCCTTCCCCCCTGTTGCCCTCTGTTGCCTCTGCTAATGCCGTCGACCTCGTTGGCTTCGAGTCGGTCGGAGCTGTGTCTGCCCCTAGCGGGAGACGCCGCACCGGCAAGGGCAAGGGGGGCAAGGGCGCTAGAGGGGCTGGCGGGGGCGGTGGAGGTGGCGGTGGAGGCAGTGGAGGGGGTGGGGGTGGTGGTGGGAGTGGTGGCGGGGGTGGAGGTGTCGGTGGCAGCAGTGGAGGCGGAAGAGGCGGCGGCGGTGGAGATAAGAGCGGCAGCGGCGGAGGTGGAGGAGGTGGCGGCGGCAGCGGTGGAGCTGGTCGCGACTGTGCGCAGAGGAGTGGCTCCGATGGTGGTCCGCGCCAGCAGCAGCAGCGCACTCGTGAGACCCCGTCCCCCCAGCAGCTTCGTGAGTGGTACGCTGGGCGTCAGCGAGGTGGGGGTACTGGTCCCTGTCACTACGTCCTCCGTACCGGCGACCGCGCTGGTGAGCAGTGCGGGGGCTCGTACTCCACCCAGCGCTGCTTCGGCCGCTTGACGGACGCTTGGCGTCACCAGTTCCCTGATGCCACTGAGATCCATTGCTGGGGGTTGCTATCTTTGATCTTGATTATGATGCTATTCTTGCTGCCATGTATGCTGTGTCTACTAGTGTAGTGATGAGGGTGACTGTTACCTGTGTGTTCCGCCTGACCCGGGCATTGAGGCTGCTGCTCTAGGTGCTGGTGAGGGTGCTGCTCTAGGTGCTCGTGCGTCTGCTGCCCCAGGTGCTGGTGAGTCTGCTCTCTCAGGTACCGCGTCGGCTCAGGCCTTACACACTTTCACCCTTAACTCGGGTGCTTCCCGCTCCTTCTTTCGAGACCGCACCACGCTTACGCCGCTTAGTCGGCCGGTTGCGGTCTCCCTGGCGGACCCCTCTGGGGTTCCAGTCCTTGCTCGCATCTCCACTGTCTTTCCGTGTCCGGCAGCCCCCTGTCAGGTCTCTACCTCCCCTCGTTCGCTACAAACTTGGTGAGTGGTGCTGACCTACAGGATGGGGGAGTTGACCAGTTCACTCCTGCGGGTCAGCGGGTGACCCACTGTACGTGTGCTCGGACGGGCCGACACTTGGCCACGTTTACCCGTCGGCCGGGGTCGAGCCTTTACACACTGACTACTGAGTCCCCTCCGGTTGCTGAGTCTGGTCAGGTAGGTGCGTCGGGTCAGGTGTTTGCTGCAGCGTCCAGGTCTGGTCCTGAGTCTGCGCCCTGCTCGTGTCGTCTCCTGTCCCACCAGACTCTCCTCTGGCACCACCGCCTTGGTCACCCCTCCCTGCCTCGTCTCCGAGGTATGGCCTCCCGTGTCCTTGTCTCTGGTCTCCCCCGATCCCTCCCTCCCCTCCCTCCGGGGCCTGCCCCTACCTGCTGTGAGAGTACGACGGCTTATGCCATCTATGCTTGCTTGCCTTTACTTTACCATGCTATTTCTAGTATAGGATTATTATATGCATGCATGAATTGCTTGATTTCCTAGGCTAGGTGCTTTCCTATATTTTATTATAGTTATAGCACCGAGCTAGGTTGCGTGCACCGAATTCTGGCCTTTTCGGTTGCCACCGAATTGCCTTCTACAGAATTCGGTAAGGATCTGTTCAGGACGCTTCGCGACTCGCAGAACCTTCGCGTAACACCTGGTTACGGGGCCTTGTGTCGAGCCTATATATAGCCTCGTATTGTACCCAGGTGATCATTCAATTCAATTCACATTCTCTTTTCTGATCTCGATCCTAGATCCTCCCACTTGGTAATCAGAGCCTGTTCGCAAGCGAAGTTTTTCGACCGCTTAAACCTAGCTTTTAAAACCGTGGGGGCGACGACGGAAAGCGCCGATTTCGGGTACGTAAACCAGTTCCGCGCTATTTTCTAACGTCCCTCTCGAACCGGTTTTCGAACACTCCTCAGGTCCAGTGGCGAAAAAGTTGGAATTTCGACCGTCGGATCCATTCGAATCTCAACGGCCTCAAGAATTTCGCCCAAAGAAGTTGGAATTTGGAGCGTTGTCTCAACGGCTGAGATCAGACGCGAATTTCGACTAAGGGAGAATAACGCGACCTACAGAATCAGCCCTCGTCATTTCTGCAGTCAACTCGACTCACAGTAAGATGACCAGCGCCTAAATTCATATATTTTCGTCGCAAATCTTCTTATAAATCGCCAAATGGAGGAAAACAGTGATAATTCCGTACGGAAAATTACGGAGTTACACACCGGGCTGGACCAGACGCGAGCGGCACTCCATCGAATAGAGGAGCTTCTCGCGAACCAGTCGGCAGCCGCCATAGCAGCAGCAAACGCAGCGGCGAATGCAGCAGCGACGTCACCAGCAGCAGCGACGACACCGACACTTAACCTAGTAGCAGCGGCAGTGGCTACAGTGAATCTTGAGGCGGCACGTCCGAGGCTACCGGAGACGTTCAATCCGAATGCGAGAGACACTGACGTTCGTCGATTCATTGCGACTCTCAAAATTTACTTCGAGGCCGTTGGCTGTACGATCCCGACAGACGATGCAATGCGGATTCGGCTCGCAGCGACACTATTACGAGGCCCAACGCTCGAGTGGATTTACTGACAAAATTAGAAGAAAGAAGAGGGTTTGACTAGCAAGAATGGGGATACAAATAGCAAACCCTAGAAGGGTTGTACTCGCTATAGAGCACCCCACTACAGGCTAGAGCATAAGATAACATTCTGACACACCCCCATAGCCAAAGTGGGGTGTAATCAGCAGAGCAAGCAAAGCAGTACAAGCTCAGGGTGGATCACAATGTCACCACACATTCTGAGCACAAGTTCAAGAAGCAATAGTAAAGAATTATGAGCAAAGCTAGAGGCTATCGCAGAGGGCAAGTGAGGAGGAGGAGGCGAGAGTGAGAGGAAAGGAGATAGGAGGCGACGGATGAAGCTGCAGACACACGGGCAACAGGAGGCAGACTGGCACAGCGGCTACCGGACGAAGCCCCCGGACTACAGGGGTAACTGGCCCCGCGGCTAAAGTAGTGGTAGACGAGCAACGGACCCACGGGCGGCTGGCACAGCTGGCTACGAATGAGCTACCGGACGAAGCCCCCCGACTACAGGTGCTGCTAGCGACACAGCGGCATCCTTCATTCAGCTCCCCAAACAGTCTCACCCCCCCTTGCACACACCCCCTACTGCACCCCTAGGGTCACTCACACCCCACCCCCTAGCACGACTCCAGCGACTCCCACACACCCACCCCCCTCAGCGGCAGCTGCAGCAGTGGGAGACAGAGGAGGAGGAGAAGTAGGGGAGACCACACACCCGCCACCCCATACTCGCCACCCCCTACTCGCCACTCCCCAAACCCTAACTCAGGCAGGGCGGGATGGCGGGTAGGGAGGTTACGGGGGAGGGGGAGGGGGGGGGGGGGGGGGGGAACCGACGCGCGGCCTCCCAGGGCGCCAAGACAGGCAGCAGAAGGGGGGGCGGCGCTCGCCCCCTTCCGCAAGCGGCCCCCGAGGGTCGCCAAGACAGGCGACGGGAAAAGGGGCCGCAGGCGGGGCCGGGGCCAGGACAGCGGCATGGGGCCGGGATGGGCGGCGCACGGGCGGCGACGGGCCGGGGCAGGTGGCGATTTGGCGGCGACGGGCCGGGGCAGCTGCGCGGGGCCGGGACGGGCGGCGCACGGGCGGCGACGGGCCGGGGCTGACGGCGCACGGGCGTCGACGAGGCGGGGCAGCGGCGCACGTGCGTCGACGGGCCGGGGCTGGCGGCACACGGGCTGCGACGGGCCGGGGCAGCTGCGCGGGGCCGGGGCAGCGGCGCACGGGCGGCGACGGGCCGGGGCAGCGGCGCACGGGCGTCGACGAGCCGGGGCAGCGGCGCACGGGCGTCGACGGGCCGGCGCGCGGGTCCCTGTCGTCCGTCGCAGCGCCTCCCGAGGGCGACGCGCCGAGCGACGAGGCAGAAGCCCGCCGCGCGCCTCGGGGCGCACAGCGGGCAGAGAACCGCCGCGTGCCTCGGGGCGCACGGCGGGCAGACAACCGCCGCGCACCTCGGGGCGCACGGCGGGAAGAAAAAACTGCCGCACGCCACGGGGCGTGCGGCACAGAGAGTAGCAGTAGCAGTTGCAGCGGAAGCAACGAGGTGGTGGTAACCCACCCACAGGATCGATCCAAGAGGATTGACCTGCTCTGATAGCATGACAAAATTAGAAGAAAGAAGAGGGTTTGACTAGCAAGAATGGGGATACAAATAGCAAACCCTAACAGGGTTGTACTCGCTATAGAGCACCCCACTACAGGCTAGATGAGAACATTCTGACATTTACAACAGCAATAAGATCCGAGGCGAGGGGTCATGGACGCAGTTTCGGGAAGCTTTCATTCAACGTTTCGAACCAATCAACTCCAGCTACATGGCGTGGCAGCAGATTCATCGGCATAAACAGTTCGGCAGTGTAACACAGTACACGCAGCAGATGGAGAGCCTCTTCAACCGAATTACCGACCTGATCGAAGGGGAAAAAATCCAAGCGTATACTAAGGGGCTAAAGATGGAAGTCCGCCGAAGGTGATTGCCGCAAACTACAACAACTACCGCGACATGGTGTGTGCAGCAGAGAGATTCGATGCGCTAATGCAATGTGAGCCCGAGACACGACGCCACGTGCCGAACAGATCATTCGACACGAAGCGATCGGCACCACCCACGACCGCCGACCCGATGGATATGGACAAGATCGACGCGAAGCAGCGGCCGACAAAATATGAGAAGTGCGAATTTTGCGGCGCAGTAGGACATCGATTCTTGGCGTGTTGGAAAATGAAGAAGGCACGAGCGGAGCTGCAGGGCAACAACAGTGCGACATCCACGATAGCGAAAAAAGGAGGACATGATGGCGCGAATTTAAAATGCCACGACCGGCCGGCAACAGGGGAAATCGTCGAGACAAATGGAGGCTCCGCGAAACAAGACTCTGCACCGACCGGGAAACTTCAGCCGAACACCCCCGAGAGTAAGAATATTCCCTCTTGAGGTTTTCAACCCTTTAAAAATTTCAGGGGAGATTTTAAGGCCATGAAAAAGCCTTCAGACATTATTCAGGTACCTGAGAAGTTGGGCAAACCATTCGAAGCGTTGAAAAGGGTCATGCGTTCCAAGGAGTTACTATTCTCTCCCCGCAGCATAGTGTTAAGGCTCCCCATTGCCCACAGGAGAAGCCTACACAGCTGCAAAGGCTTAAGGGAAGGTTCCAGACCAAGACGAAGCTGAGTCGGCCTCGGATAAATCGTTCTAACCCTGCTCAGTTGGAAACTGATATGGAGTCAGCAGCTTCGAGCGCAGGACCAAGGGATGATCTATTTGACGTACCCTACGATCCTATAAGTGAGACCATCTACGGTTACTCGGAGCAGCAAAAACCACTACTACTCGGGGTGATCTGCAATGGGCGACGCCTCCAGGCAATGGTGGACAGTGGTGCGTCACACTCGGTGTGCGACTGCGGGACGTTGGAGAAAACTGGAGAATCGTCGAAGGAGACCAAGTTCACGGCAACGATGGTGGATGGTACGAAACTTCCCATCCACGGCGAAGCATCACTGCAGCTGCACATAGGGGCGCTGAGGTGGAAGCCGACGTTGCCGATCAAGAATATCAAGGGTTTAGATTTCATCTTGGGGCGAAATTTCCTGAAGCGGTTCAACCCCGAGATCGATTGGGTCAACAGGAAGGCGCGCATCTACAACAACGGGAAGCGGATAGCACTGCGAAGCTGGACGGATACAGGGAACATTCCTGAAACGACAGTGGCACGGTTCGAACGGACAGTGAACGAAAGTAACACGAGTTACTTAGCACTAGTTATGGCAGCAGCACAGGAGGAGAAGCCGAGTTCGGAGCTACTTGCAGTAGTGAAGGAGGTCTTGGAGCAGTACAAGGATATAATGCCCGACGACCTACCTGCAGGCGTACCTCCAGCACGCACCCACGAAACCCGTCTCACGTGCACCATACCGACTGAGTCCGACCGGGCTGACAGACATGAAGAAACAGATAGAGTATCTACTGGACAGACAACTGATCCGCCCGTCCACCTCTCCCTACGGTGCACCAGTCCTCTTCACTCCAAAACCAGACGGCAGTCTACGGATGTGCATCGACTACCGTGCACTCAACAAACAGACAGTTAAAAACAAATACCCCATACCGCGCATAGACGACCTACTGCACCAACTGCGTGGTGCAACAGTCTTTTCGAAGTTGGACCTACGGCCAGGTTACTGGCAGATCAAGATGGCAGACAACTCGGTCCACAAGACGGCGTTCCGTACCAGATACGGCTCCTACGAATACTTGGTGATGCCGTTCGGACTCTGCAACGCACCAGCAACGTTTCAGGCAGA